TTAATTCCTCACCTGATACTGAGCACAGAAATACATCATATCAAAAGTCAATCATGCATACTGAAAACCATCACAAAGTACATCAGCAACACACACATCTGCAGCGCTCATGTGTGAGTCACAGAGTTATTATGGTACACATACAGGCTCCCACCGCCCACACAGCCCTGCTCAGACGCTGCTCACACACATACAGAAACCACAACTCCACTGAACTCTTGAAATCAATCAATACCTCAAATGTTCATGAATGCATTATTAACTTTAAACACCAAGTTAATAATCAACCCTAAATAAAACCACTTCAGAGAATATGAAGAAAGAGAGCCACTCGCCTGCCCTTCCATCTTCTAGAGATCTAGCTGGATGATCACCAGGCCACTGTTTCACTCCAACTGAGGGATGCAGAGAGGAGATCTTCAGGTGGTGGTTAAAAGCTTTGCAGGACCCGCCCGCCGGCGCTGACAGCTGCAAGAAAAGGAACACACCTGATTAGGCGCTGTCCGTGGTACTAGCCGGCTCTGCCAGGAAGGGCACGACCGCTTTCCCCTCCATCCCAGCAGGAAACCGATCACCAATAATCGATAGCATGCATTATACAGCTCATATCTGAAGCTATGGGAAATAAAAGAGAGGACATTTTGTCGGCCTAAGTCTTTTTCTTTCTGTGGTGTCAAACTGGAGCGAGCTGTAGATTTCTCCCACCCCGACCGGTCCGATAAAAAGCCCCCGGTGCTAACGCTGCCTGCGGCGGACAGTGAGGTGCCTCTCACCTGTGTGGAGTCCCGGGCCGGACAAAGGAAGCCCTCGGTGAGCTGCAGGGGTCGCTTTCCGTTTCTCTTGTGATTCCTCTCATGCGGGAGCTGCGAGGAGGACCGCACGTAAACGCACGCACTTCTTTTTATTTATTTCTTTTTTCAGCCACTCCATCAACCTATGAAAAACGGGGATGCTGGGATGTCGTGCCGTTGCCCCGCCCTTCCGCGTTTACGTGCAGGACTCCGTGTGTCTCTCTTTACATCATCACCGCGTCCCGTGAGCCGCGGCGGCGCCCAGCTCCTATTATGGTTGCGGCCTTTTATTCGGTTAGTTGGTCAGCTCAGTTGACGAAAGCGCGGGCGCATGCGCGGAGGGGTGGTCCCTGAGGGGTCGTGAGGATATGATTGTGATCACCCCACACCCCTCCCTCCCTCCCTCTCCCTGTGGAGTCCTCCTCGCCTTCCCATGATGCCTCTCGCCTGGCGACCTTGACAGTAAGCGCTGGGTGACTGGTGCTGATGCTGCGGATGCTGATGCAACGCGGTCCGTTACTGAGGCAACGGGTCATGCGGTGCGGCTCGGATGATGCTCCAGTTGTAGAAAATGATTACTTTTCAAAGCTTTTTGTGTATTTGCAGACAGATTGTGAACAGCCGCCACAGGGGGCAGCTGGCCAAGTAGAAGTGCATCTATAGGGTATCAAATACTGCACGCACTGCAGGGCCCACAGTCTTATGAGCTGCTTGTGACTCAGAGACAATAACAAAAGTCAGCTGACTGTACACATCATGGAGGTTTGTGTAAAATGGTTATGCAATGACTTTAGCGTGATTCAGTTCTGTCAGAGTGAGTTTGGAGCTGCTGAATGGAGCTCATGGTGAGATTGTTCACTCAGTGTTTCCCCCAGTCATAAACATTCAGTGTCAGACTTTTGGGTCAATATGGAGAAGTCCTGTTAGTGTTTGTGAAACCATAAAATTCTACCATCTTACAATTTCATGACAACTGCGCAAACCCTGTCTGCTGATGAAGATCATGTGACATAATCTAAAGCTCTGGACCAGCTACTAAATGGAATCTGTGTTGGGTTTTTTCCAGCTTTTACTTTCTACGTTTCGACAAGCAGTTGCTTCTTTTTTAATAACTTGTCTTCACTTAATATATTGGTACTTTATTTATGTCATTTTGCCCTTCTGTTTCGTATGCCGTTCCTATGCACGAAACCCTCTGAGGCTACATAAATGAAAATCAATTCAGTTTTAATTATTAATGTCTCCATCATGCCTATATTAAGGTCATCTCTTATCTCACAATTTTGGTGTATACAATATATAAACAGTAAAATGTGCCAAAATTCAACACCAAAAATAAGAAGAGAAGCGTCAGTCCGGCTGATACCTCGATATCTCCATCAGTGTCAGTGTCAGTGTCAATGAAAGTGCTCTTCACTACTCAGACTTAAAGACTGCAGATTAGTATTTAATATATATATATTCATTTAACTACACTGTGGAGGACTCTGGGGCCTATTAAGTGGTACATTATTCTCACTTTTCAAAATAAAAGCTCACATTTGTAAAAGAAATATACATATTTCTGGCTCTAACGTTCATATTTTCTGGTTATGTAGCTGGCTGATGTAAGGGGGACGTTCTCCACATTAGTTTGAGCAGGGAATCATTATCAAGTATAAAGAAGGACAAATACAAAAGGAGTTCACAATAACATTATATAATTTATTTAGTTGCTTATGTACAGATAAAGCAGATGCTTTGTGTTAAGATACTACAGTGAATAGAAGGTAAAGAGGGATGGAGAGGAATGTGTTTGTTCAGATCTTCCCGGGGAAAGATCCCGCCTCCACCTGCTCGTCCCATTTCTGAACCTGCAGGAGAGAGAAAGAGGAGAGAGAGAAAGGCTTAAAGACGGACCAAGATATCACTCTTAAGGTAAAAACTGGACCTTAATACCAGACATCATGTAGGTAGGATTTCTACAGATAGATGATAAAATGTATGGCTTAAGTGACATATGAAGTTATTCTGTCTTGAGACAGAGAGACATTTGTGTATTTATGGTTGAAAGCAGACTAAATATGTAAATGTAGAGTCTGGATTAGCAAATTAGGTGTCAAGTCCTTCATGTGGCTCTGTGTAGGTCCCTGGTTTGAAAATATATTTGGTGTAACGTACCCAGCTCATGGGGCAGAGGCTCTTGTAGACCCTCTGGTACCACATGCAGGGAGCTGTGTCCTGGTCTTTGGCGGACAGAGCTTTGTTACATCTGTGGAAATCTGCAGGGAACACAGAGAGAAAGACGAGACGTGTCAGAGCGGGAAATAAACAGCCAGCAGCGACCCCCGAACAAGAGAGCCGTTAGTCTGAATCAGCACGTCCCATAAATTCCATGTGATATATTCATTCAATAATGGATGAAACTTTTTTTTAAATTAACTACATACTTTAGGTTCCAATCATGCCCTCATTCAGTCTGTGTAATTTCACAAAGCACTCTCTTATAGCTACTTTTACTTTGAAAATCAGCAGGCAAGCCGCAGTGATCGATACTGAAGATGGGTTAAACAAACCGTTCATCCAAACTGTAGTGAAATGAAGCTCAAATACAGCCGCTACCAGACGTCCTCCCGACAAAATAAAGACAAAACAAAACAATAAAAATGTGATTTGGAGGAAGGCTGGGACAGAATTATAACTCCCACACCTCTTCAGTCGGCTGATACACTAACAGAGGGTGCAATCATTCTCCAGCAGATCAACCAGCATTGTTGAAATAATGCAGCAGCAGCAGAAGCAGGACTGATTCATGTAAGTTTCAACACTGAAATCCAGACGCTTTTATTTGAACAAATTAAATGTATTTTTTTACGTGTTCAGAGATACAAGAACGTATGAAATGAATTTTGGGGCTAAGATAAAATGTCTGGGTTTCAGCTCTTCTCAGCTCTTAAGAAGAGGACAAATCCAGTAGGACAATGTTGGAAAGGCTCAGTACAGTTGACAATGGCACATAAAAGCGTTTGTGTGATCGGATGATGAGGGTTGACATTCCCACATTAATTCATCACCGTGAACACACCGAAGCTGAGCAATATCAACGATGTTAAGGATAGAGGGAAGACATGCAGACGGAGGATTTAGAGGAAAGCAAAGTGGCTCTGACGTAGATGTGACCCGCGTCCATCTTTACCTGCTTTGGTTAAAAGTTCAGGTTGTGTTCAGCATGAGAGGAAAGGAGGGAACTGCCCTGTGTTGGTCTGACACAAGGAAACATGCAGATATTCTTCATCAGTGAAGGTAAGGTATGAAGAAACCTGAAGAAAAACCTGAAGGATGAATATTTAACAGCTCTGACCGGGTCTGGACCCGTGTATGTGAGGTAAACTGTGTGAGGCAGGCGGTCTGGTTTACCCAGATAGTTCTGGAAACAGTTGCGGGTCTGGTTGGTGTTGGGGAAGCGGGCGTCGAATGGAGCCGTCCTGTAGTTCTTGAGCTTCTCATCGATATGATCAGGCATCTTCAGCTGCTGGATATCTGCAGAGGAACAACCGCATGTGAACATCTCTGAACTGGACTGACGCTGATTAGACACAGTAGAAAGACAGTGGATGTGCATTTACAGATAAGGCATTTTTAGCCCCAAAACACACTGCACAGTGCAGTGGATGGCAACAAGCACCAAGTAGTAAACTTTATAATTTGCTAGGTTTATGCCAGTTTTAGTCACTTTTTTGGGTGCCGAATTTACCAGATGACTTTAATGACTGATAAGATAAGTTTATTTTTTCTGTACGATGTAGCGTTCAGCAGTAACACGAGAGAAATTAAAAAAACACAGGTTTTCCAAAAGGAGTTCGGCGCACCGCGTCTGCATACTAAAGATAGAGGAACGCTTTGATTTGACGCTTGTTTGGCTAACGTTAGTCAAGAGTTGCTAACTGTTCACTGACTATTTGTGAAGAATAAAATGAACACTGGTTCAAAAATACAATCTTATTAAAATGAATTACAATTATAAACCTGTTCTCTGACGTTAATCTCGACCCAGAAACAGATAAGCTGGATGCTAATGATTCACTGTAGGATCTATCTGTTAGCCAGAGATAAACAACTGAGATAAATGTGTTTTAATGCTGTTAGTATTCTTAAATAAAACTGTTTACCTTTCCCACAGATATTCCGCTGTAATCCTTCCCTCTGAGTCCTTACGTCTGAAGGGCTGCACAGTCGCAGAGGATGTCGGGAAACAGAAGTGACCATTCAGGTGGTGTTCAAAGAGGCAGCACCGCCACCTGCTGGACGCAGCGTGCAGGTACAACAGCAGCCTTTTTTCTTTTATAATGCAGCCTAATGCCAACATTATTATATTATATTATTCTAACATTATTCACCACCTTTAAAGGATGGGTTAAAGAATATAAAAATAAAAATATGTTATACTTCGCCCTCATCTGCTTAAATATTCAGCTTTAAAGTTCATTCTTGACCTTGGAAAATAATCTGAGTGGAAATCTTAACACAAGGTCCACTGAGAGCTATTAAATGTGGTTGAGGACCTAGTTCTAACATGTTTTGTGCTTATACACTGTATATCATTATTTTCTTGTAGCCTGTGGTCAGTGCAGTAATGTCATAAAATGACCTGAAGGATTAATTAGTTAAATATTAATGATTGTTGGTGTGTTGTGAAGATTCCTGCTAAAAAAAAAAAAAAAAAAAAAAATCCCAAAACCGCAACAACAAAAGTAAAACAAACAAAAATGTGAACAACAAACATGTAAAACAAAAAAGGATTATTTTATTATTATTTTTATCATTATTATTAGAACAACTAATACATGTAACTAAATTGCTTCTTACCAATCTGGTTGATTAATTATATATTAATTGTTTTTTTCCTGCTTTGTTGCCTCCTCTCTTCTGATATCTTCTCTTCTGTTTTCTCCTCTCCCCTCCTCTCCTCTCCCCTCCTCTTCTCTCCTCTCCTCTCCTCTCCTCTCCTCTCCCCTCCCCTCACTGTAGAGTAGCTTGTCTCCTCTCACAGATCCTCCTCAGCTGGTTGGAACATCTGGAGATGTACCAGCTCCTCCTGTAGTCGTCTCCTGGGGTGATTCGACCACACAGCTCCCTGCTGTCTCTGTTGTCAGGCTCATGTAGCCGAAACCTGCAGAAGAAAAAAAAAAAATTAATCTGTTACCATGGCAACCACTACTCCTCCATATGAAAATACATCGGCTGTCTTTCAGTCCCCTCCCATAATGGCAAATGTAATCAAAGTCGCTCCAAAGAGAAAACTGAAGATACTGTAACTATAGTAAAATTAAATAGTTCTAGCTTCCTTTTTTATTTTCACTTAATAAATACTTGAATTAGTGTTAATGTGTACAAAATAATTTTTTAAAAAGGGGCCGTTCTGGTGACAGAACATGCATGTAAACCCATCTCTCTATCCTTTCCTTTCGGGTCACTTCTTTGTGCTCGTTGTCAATCTATTCAGTTTCAGCCTGGGTCTTGTGTTATTTATATTTAATCACAGATAATAAATATCAACTCATATCTGTGATATCTGAGAAAGAATTAAATATATTAAATCTATATAAAGAACTTTTATATTCATATTTAATATGTTGGGATTTCCTCTCGAGTACATTAAATAGGATACAATTCTTAAAATAAGTAGTGACTATAAAACCTAATACTAAAATGAAGTATGTAGGGTTATGTTTTTTTAAAATGAACTAACTGTGACTTTAAAGTTTTGTAGAGTAGTTTAGTAGAAAATGACTGAAATGTTTCATTCTGTGGATTTTAATGTTTGAGTATATTATATATAAACAAACACACATAAAAGTGTCTGATACTGCCCACTTTAAGTCTTGTTTCCTTTTAACTGATTATTGTATACACATTATTATTCTAAGGTATGTTGCTTCTCATTGTGTATTTTATTGTGTTATTTATTCATTTTTATATTTAAATAATGAGGAAAGTATGTCTAAATCTGCACAGACTCAATAGATTTAATTGTTTTGTGTATTAGAGTGTATTTTTTTCTTCACAATACAAATATTTTGCTCAGGGGATCATCACACCTGTGTGTCCTCACCCGTGAACCAGCAACATGTGACCGAACTCTCAAGCTGCAGGAAAAGAGATCAGCGTCTGATGGCTCGTCGCCTCAGGAGCCCTGTTTGTTCCTGTTTGTCCCTGTTAAACCCTCTTCAACCCTCCTCCTCCTCCTCCTCCTCCTTCTCCCTGTCATTACTCACTCTGGTCCCTTCTCCACCGGGGAGCCGTCGCTCCACTGCCAGCTACCGTCACTACCACCGCTCCTCAGCCCGAGCCAGTACGAGTCTCCCTGGCTCAGACTCTGGGCCTTTTTCCACAGGAACACCTGGGAAACATGTCAGAAAATGTCATCACCTCCCCCAAACACATCTCAACTGGGAACATCAAGCACATAAACTGTGTTACACGTACAGTAAAACAGTGAAAGACAAAACCTCAGATGACCTTAAGCAGCTCCTGCAGACGTCTCCATATTTCATGGAGGTCTTAAATCTATTCTTAACTTCTCTGATGGTGTGTGTGTGTGTGTGTGTGTGTGTGTGTGTGTGTGTGTGTGTGTGTGTGTGTGTGCACTTGGAAATGTGTAATCTTACAGCTGATATTTCAGGGAAAGCATCTCAAATGTTTACAGCTGGAAATATTATTAATGAAGTTCCATGTCTGACACAAAAATATTAGCAGAGATTTCCAGTGATGTTTCTGGTATTATGATGGAACATAAACACTTATAATAAAGTAATGAATGAAATATGTGAAGAAAATGAATCAGAATGGGTTTATTAAATATATAAACCTAGAAAATAATAGGGCAGTGTGTGTGTGTGTGTGTGTGTGTGTGTTCACCTGTTCCTCCTCTGTCCTGACTGTGGCCACAGCGCCTCCCAGTGCCATGCAGCGGTACTGGCTGCTCATCCAGTCGGCCCTATCCTGACTGAACAGGAAACATTTCTCCCCCTGAGGCGTCCAGTCGGCTGGACACGGTCTGCACGCTCTCTCTGGATGAAAAAAGACAGAAGGATGAATGAAATTGTATCCTTGCTGTGTTTTAATCTGCTTCAAGCTCCGAATGACCTTTTCACAGCAGAAATGTCAAGACGGACTCAATTTTCAGCTGTGATATGATTTTTTCCAGCTGTGAAAACTTCCTTGTACGACTACTTTATGGCCTTTCATGCAAGAATTACAGTTTTTTCAATTCAAAAGTGTCGTAATACACCAAAACACTAAACACTGTCTTCATGTTCTCCAGTGTTTTTAATTCATCTGTGTGTATTAAAATTAACTGCTGTACATTATGCATAATTGTAACAATCTTGCAAAATATGAATGCAGTACATCAGTATTTGACATAAAAGTGTATTACATAAAGTACATAAAATGCTATAAAGCAAATATATAGTTCAGTGCAATGAATACTTGATGTCCGCTGCAGTGGGCACTTATAGTTTCAGTGAGAGAGGAAAAACCAGAGAGAATTCCTGTTATTTGAATCCAAAATGGGAAGCTGACGTGGTCATGCTTGAACTGTTTGTGTACTTTTGCAAATCACTATGCAAATCAGAGCTGCTGGGTCAAACGGTTTTTGCAAATAATTCCTTGTGTTTAATCTGCAGATGAGAGCCCGACTCGCCCGAACGACGGGTAAATCAACAGTGACACAAAAAATATAAAATAGATTTTCAGATTTTCAGTCTCGTGGTTATTCTGGTACTTTTACAGAACTCTCTTTTTCTTTCTTTCTTTCCTTCTTTCTTGATGCAGGGAAAAAAGCTAAAGCAAGATGTTGATGAAGTGAAAGTGTTAATTTTGTATGTAAATGTAAAAGCTAAGCTAACAATGCCAAACACCAAAACCAGGGCTTAGGTAGTAAACAGAGGTTGGTAAACTGGGGGCAAGCTGGAACTTACCCCCTCACTGATTGACACAGTTGATCTGAAAATGGGTGAGTTTGCTTTCAGCCTCATTTCAAAGAGTTTACCTGGGTTTAATATCTGCCACTGTGTCCCTGACCAAACATAACATTAATCTTTATATGATAAATTGCATTGAACTTGCAGACCATTTGCTCCTTTAACCTATAATATAATTTAAAGGTCCAGTGTGTAGGATTTAGTGGCATCTAGTGGCGTATTGCAACTCTCTCGCTTCACCCTTCTTTCCAAGCCCTATCTAGAGCTACAGTTTGGTTTGTCCGTAATGAGTCTCAACCCTCAAACAGCTCTTTGAAGAAGACTCCCAATGTCTAAAGCCTGGGTCCTCTTCAAACCTGACACACACAGCGCTTACCACCAGTGGTGGAGTTGCTGACTGGGCAGTACTGGTTCAGAGCCGGGTACTGGGAGAACAGGAGGTGATACGACTGGTTGAGCTTCTCCAGTCTGTTTGTCAGATCTCTCAGTTTGGTTTCCTGCAGGGTTGACTGTGACTGGAACAGGAAGGTGATCTGAACCACTGTGATATCAAACACACACACACACACACACACACACACACACACACCCAGAAAGACAGAAAATTACATTCACAATGTTCCATTACCCGTTTCCATGGATACAGGATAATAAAGGATGTGTCGGGGAGAAAACAAAGAAGACTGCGGAGGTATAAAAAAATAAAAAGATGAGGCCATTCAGAAGGAACATAAAGAGTTAATCCTCTCTGTAAACCTTCAAAAGACGACATTCAGTCTAAAATAAGACGTGAAAAGAATGACGTCTCAATTTCTGACAAAATGACAGCTGCTGGCACGAAAGTATAGAATATTTTGGATTTTGCCAAAATGAAGACATGATCAGTTCATGGCTGCTGTGAAGTTTCAGCTTTTAAAAATATGCCTCCACACCATTTTACTTTATGTCAACAAATCAAGATCCCACTAACACATGTTCCTCGGTGCCATAGAGCTCCACTGTTCAATAAAAAACACATCAGTGAGTCACACTGTTGCACTGGGTGACTCCATTACCATCAACATACACACTGTAGTTTGTTTGACTTAATCACACCATCCTGCTGCCCCAAAAACTCACTAGAGCTGTGAGATGTGGATTCATCTGCCACTGAAAATAGTCTAACTGAATGTTTCAGGAAATTACTGAACTTACGAATCCACGTCTTCAGAAGGAACCGATGGGCTCGGGGCTGAGACCCACAGTGTTATTTAGAGATGGACTAACACATTGCAGGTTTTGTTCTTTTCATTGATTTAAAAAAAAATATATAGAAAAACACCAATGTTAACCTAAATGAATCTTAATAGAATGTTTTCTATTTCTGAATTATATCACATAATTTACTATATACTATAAATGATGTCAAATATGAATTCCATTGAATATCTCTTCCTATAAAATATGTCTTTATTCATTTATTTTTATTTTCTCTTTTCTTTTGTTGCTGTTGTACTATCTTTTTATTTGATAGTTTTTTTTATTTATTATCTTTATTTTTATTATTTTTATGTATTTTGTTTACAAAATTCTTCGTTTATATGTTCCTGTATGCATTTAAAGTATAGTTCAGTCAACTTGCACCTGTTTCCCTGGACGGGTCAACCATCACAAAGTACTCACAGCAGAAAGTCTGGAGCAGAGTGACGATGACGAGAAGGAAGCACAGCAGAGAGAAGAAATGAGCCAGCTGTCTGTACTCACTGAACCAACCTGAGAGACACAGCAACAGAGACAAAAAGACAACTCTTAAACTTCACATAGACTACTATTTTCAGCAGGAGCTCATTATAATACTACATACAGAGTCAGCTCACCCAAACCAGCCCAACAGACCAGCAGTAAATCCTGTCTCTATGAGGCTGATGCTGGTTTCTGAGACTGTAGGCAGGGTTGTTGTTGCACTATTGATAAGCATGTTATACTGTAGGACTGTAATGTCAGATTACATGAGATTCTACAGCTGTATGTAACACACTTACCTCTAATGGAATCCAGACATGCTGAGAGTTTCAGTTTTATTTGCTGAAGTGTTGAGAATGTTGCTGAGACTTCAGCCGCCCCCTGGCAGCGAGGTTTGTGGATTATCCCCAGTAACTGGGATATTGTTTCTGTAAAGAAACGTTTGAGTTTTCAAATGTCACCCTGATGCTTTAAACACAACAAGTGGCACTTCACAAAACCTCAGCAAATAAAGATTAAACTATCTACATGGCTAGACATCACTGGGGATAAGAGGAAGTATTCATATTATTGGCTGTTTTTATATTATGGCTGGTATTGTTGTTTGGAACAGAACCTTTATTCACTGCATCTTTCTAGCAGAAAGAGCAGCTAATTAATACAATCATCAGCTAATGTAATAATAAAACCCACTTGACACAGTCCATTCAAGTAAATGATTTTAAAGTAAAACAGTGCTAGATTTAAAGCACTCAAAAAATCCACTTAATGCACTTGATCTTTGTGGAAAGTGCAAAGCCTTTAATTTGCTGTGTTAAGACCATGATTTCATAATGAACAATTTGTTGAAATGCATCTTAAAATCGTAAACATTTGAAGTTAAATGCATACACGTGGCTTAAGCAAGAATTATTTAGCAATAAAGAAAAATAAATTACTTTTGTCTGCAGATGTTTCCTGTTGTTCTTCCAGCAGAGCTGATCCATTGCTCACTCCCATGGTTTCATCGGTTCCTACAGGCATGAAGGTTTTGTTTAAGTAATTGCTGCATTAAAGCATATTGGCTCTCCGCCAGCTGTTTCTCTGAGTCCTCAAATATTGTTTTAATACCTGAAAGCCTTTGTTTTCTCAAAAGCAGATATAAAAGAACAGCCCGGTGTTCCTCTGGTTAGTGTTTAATGTACAATTAAATGTCTCATATGAAAATACTGGCTCCCCTGCAGCCGTATATGCAAAGCAGGACTGGACCTGATAACCAAACGAGCCAGAAGAGTTCAGCAGCTGATGTGCCCTTATAGCCACCATGGAAGTCCCCATCACCTTTTGTCCATCATTTCTACGATATTTTAAATTGCTGTCGATAAATACTGTAAGTCATCAATGTAATACAGGAATGTTCACACCTAAAGTATACCTATACTTGAGCTGCACTTTATTTGGATTTTGAATCATGGTCCGATCATACAAAACGATACGATATGATACTATACAAATACGATACAATATACTTTATTGTCTCCATAGGGAAATTTGTCTTGGACCCAAATGCTGCACCACATAGCGGCCTCCACGTACTTATATCAGGATTAGCCATTAACTGGGGCACCTGCTTTTCCCAAATGTTAATCCAGTGTTTACTATAGTTGACATATGTCTGGATATTCTTCTTTTGTCCAGGATGAGTGTCTTTAGCTTTGGCTTTATCTGCTGTTTTTAATTTAGATTTTTTTGAAGTAGCTCTTTCTGTTCTTAAATTCAGAGTCTTTAAGATATCACGCCTCATTTTTGATACTATTTATGGCTTTCATTTTTCAATCATAACACTTCCATCCTACTGGCGGGTTCCACCTTTCCTGCATGGTATTCATATTGTGCATCAGCACACATGGGAGTCACAGGTAACAATGTATGCCTGCATTTTGTATAATGTGGAATAGAGCATTTGATTGTAAGTTAAATATTCCGCATCAGATAACATTGTTGATTATCTTCTGTAGTCCTTTATATTAAAACAGTGTAAATCCTCTCTGGTCACTCTTTGTTTGAGACTGAAGAACGACAGCATCAGTCATTTCAGAATCCTATTGGCATGCATTTAGGTGACAAAGGCCTCTAGTGGCCGTAGTAATTATGTTGGGAGCAAAGGAGGAAGTCAGGTAACAATGTTATAGTGCTTTTTTAAAAGCATGATTACAATCATGCCCTAAGCAACCATGATTTACTTTTATTGTTACCATAACGATTATTCTACTGTGTTGTTCAAGAGGGGGCATGTTTGGTCATTTAATTTGGGAGCATTTGTTTGTTTGGATGCTCAGTAAAAAGATACAGATCAGTGTGTTACTTCACACACTTCCATTGGAGCTCTACTGCTGAATTGCTATTTGAAATAAATCACAAAAACAATACAACATGTGCATTCTACAATATTGTGCAGGGCAAAATTAAATTAGTTTGTAGTCCAGTTTGACTTCATAAAATATTTTTAATAGTTTTATTCAAAATCCTGACATATTTACAAATATTTGACAGCGTTTACAGTCCATTTTCTTCTTCTTTCAAGTTTTACAATTCAGCTTATAGTTTTGGCTTACACATGAGGGAGGGACTGTAGACTGAACACAATGTAATACTTTAAATATTTACAGCCAAAGACACAAGGATGAGGATAAACATAACAAAAAACCTAATAAACATTAAAATGTACACCAAAGGCGAGAATAAGCAAGTCTTTATGCATAAAGTTGTATATCATATTTTTATATGTTTTACATCAACATTCAGCTTACAAACTACACAATTCGGTAGTAGGAGGAGGTGTATGAACTGAAGTCTATGTAACAAAGACAGGAGAAACATATGAAAGACATGTCACATGCATTTGGCCCACTATCATAAGAGAGAACGGGAGCATGGTTTCAAAGTGCTGCTTGTCTTGGCATTACAGTCGAAGAAACATTCTGCAGATATTTACAGCCGTAGTGCGACACTGTCGGGATGATGTGGTCCTGATGCTGAGAGATTCTATCACCATGGCAACAACAGATACCCCTCTTTCCTATCAATAAAGAAAGTTCAACGCAGGATGTAATCTGAGTTTAACTCAGATTACACAGGGTTAAAATAAACACATATTAAACAGTTTCCTCCAAAATATGTGCTTTACAAACAAATGCAGGGTTAAGAGTGGTTGAGAAAGTGCTATGTACTTATTCAGTTATTTACAATATGAGAAATGCCATAATAAATGTTCTTAATAATTAAAACAGACTGATCTGATATAATTCACATGTACAAAAACCTCTTTTGTTATAAAAACATGAAGGTGCATCTACAAACAGCATGGGATCAACAATGTCTCTTTTCATTTCTTTATATCCAACTGAGCATGTGCAAGTGTGTGTGTGTGTGTGTGTGTGTGTGTGTGTGTGTGTGTGTGTGTGTGTGTGCGTGTGTATGTGTGTGTGTCTGTGTGTCTGACTCTGCCATGTGGTTTGAGCTGGTCAGAAATAGGCAGGATCAGATCAGTTGTCCACAGGTAAATCCTGCTGTAAGCCACCGGTTTGCTGAGGAGACATCAGCATTACCGCTGTGACATGCTGATAGACCTTTAACACTGTACTGATGCAGTCAGGTGGTTCGTGGCCGTGACATGTCATGTCTGACACTGAGCAACCGTTTGACTTTTGAACAGAGAAATGAATCCACATACAAAAATTTAAATTTAAAACATCACACTTCAGAGTTATGGAGAACACGTGGATTACACTTTTTTTGTTTTCTTTCTACAAAAAAGCCTGTTGTAGATTTTTCAATATGAAATACTAGTATAAAACAGTCTGCCAAAATATCTCTCTGCATTTTAAAAAATGTCTTGCGGCAGGATTACTCCTTTGTCTCCACAAAACCACTAGCAGATATTCGATTTTCAGTACTTTAGCAACATTTATAAATCATCACGGTTCAGGTCTCCATGTGGCTTTATTTGTAAGCGATCCTGTGCCTTTCAGCCACTCTTTCACCTCCTGTAATGTTTATTTGCTCACATACCAAACAATACAACCTAGTGCAGGCAAGCTAATGGCAACAAGCAACCTCTGAACCTGTTCCGATGGATTGAAATCCTATTATGTGTGTAAGATCTCTCAGAGCAGCCGTAGTCATGACCACACAGCCGGTAAATCCAAAGCCCTGCGCTCTTTAGAGACTTGAAAGCCGTCCTGCTAAGAGCGCCAGAGCGAAGAAGTGAGGGTGTAGGTGGAGAAGGCAAAAAGATCGAACAGGAATGGCAAAAATACATAGCAAAAGCAAAAGAAACTCCTTGCTCCGTCTGTTGCCCATGGCTGAGCTTGTGTTATTAAACTTCTGCAGACCGATATGATGAAAAACCAGAGCAGGCAATGAAATAAATCATTTCCCCAACTTTGATCCATGACAAAATAACATTTTCCCACTCTCCAGCTATTCTTGACATGGCTATGCAATCAGAAATGTGGGGGTGATGATGATACAGCTCTGGGTGAGGGGCTTATGACGTCAGTCCTTAGTGGCAGGGCTCAAATGGGAACTCAGTGAGCCCTCCGTGGAGCTCCACTGACTCCTCCGACCAGGACATGACATCACCAATGAGGTGGCCTCCGCAGGTGGCCTGGCTGTAGATCTCAGTGGGAGTCAGGACTCTGGACCAGAACTGGAGATCAGACAACTCTCCCATGAAGGACTGAGTGACATCGAAGCGGCCTCCCATCGTGTCCTGTTAGGATCAGTGAAGAACAGGTCAATATCAAAAATGCTGGATGGACTGAATCTGAACATAGAGGTCACTGACGAGAACAACATTGTCTAGGTTGAGATGAAAAGCTCATGGTTCACGTTCCAGTAGTAAAAAGGAAAACATTTATTGGATTTCTGTGATGAGAAATTTTGGTGATCTTGCATGTAAGTCACCACCCACCTTCTCGACCCCATACCCTTACTTTCTGCCTTGCTAAATAAAGGACACATTACCTCATAGATTGGCAATGAACTTTAGCAAATTAAAGAGATGTTCTGATACCATACTCAGCATTAGTATTGGTCTGATACCAGGCAAAATCACTGGATCGGATGTAAACTCATATGAGCCATTAGCTCATAGGTATAGGCTTGGTATCACTATTGGCATAATACTCAAGGTTGTGGCATCAGAATCGAGCCATCCCTACTAAATTGTGAGGTGCAGAATCGTAATTATTAGGGTTACTGGGCTAATGTAATGTGTGAGCAAGCATACTATTTTTACCATAACCTCTTAGTGGTCCAGAACTTCTTGTAATGGGAGGTCCCAGACTTGGATGACATTTTATGAGATTTCAGGACATGTAATAGTGCAAATAGGAATTACTGTCTGACAATGTGCCCAATAACGTGTGTTCACCTGCATTTGTTGCACTTTTAAGCTTTGTCAGAAAGCATAAGGTAAGTCTTACCTGCTCCTGGCCCAGGATGAAGGTCCCTCCTGGTTTGATGGGTTGCCAGGATGACAGGTTTTGCCCTGAGCCTTTCTTCACCCCGTCCTGGTAGGCCTCCCATATACCATCTCGAGTCGACCACGTCACGCACACGTGATGCCACTTCCCATCTGTCATGGTTATGGGTAATGTCACCGCCTAAACACACAGATGGAGACAGACATACCATGAATAGTGAGGACAAGGAATGCCACGACCCCATACTGGGAACCGCTGTTCTAGTTTAACCACCATTATTTGAGGGTAAAGTTTTGATCCAAATTTCATTATTTATCTGAAGAAAATTGAGGATTAATTTATGACTGCGAAAAATAATTCTGTTCACAAAGTTCAACTTTTTACACTTTTTCCAGGTTGTGGATATCTTTCTTTCAAGTTCATTTAAAATAAAGATTCAGCCTGTGATAAGTTAATGGCATAAGTGAGGCCTGACCTGACCTTACGACTTAAGAAATGTTGGAGGAGTAACAACAACAGTGCAGACTTCCTGATCTCTGATTTCCCACCTTTAATTGTATACAAGCATCCAGACAGAAATAAAGCCTTTTCTTTGTTTTATCAAGAAAATAAAAGCAAAAACACTGTACCTTCTTTCCCAAATGTCATTCTAACACTGTGAAAACACATTACCATGAATAATCTCTCCTGGATGATAGACAACTTAACACACAAGTGCTTGCTAATGAGAGAGTTGATTAGTACAATATGAGAATCGCCACTCGATTCATCCTTATAAACTCTATGAGGTTAATTAAAGACTGAGATTAATCTGCATTCTGAAGATCATTTAACTGTGTCATTGATCAGTTTGATGACTTCCAAGTGTGTGACTAGAAGCAAAACAAACATGACAGTTTATCCCTTGTGGTAATGTCACTCCTGCAGACAATTAGGCCAATCAATTACGATAATCAGATTAATTGATTTGTTAATTTGTTTGTTGAGCTCTTTTGCTCACAGTACTGGGGCAAGGAAGGGAAAAAGACAAACATCTGTCTTCCGTTTATGGGAAAAGGGAATCAGCTTTTCAGAGAATGAAAGATTAAGATTAACGGTTTGTAACATTTGTATGTTAGGATTCTGTGTACAAGTCAACGTCTCATTGAATCATGAACTGTCATTCCAACCAGATGGTACCACGAGCCGAGTGCCATCTGGTTCCATTGCAGACATCTGTACTGTCAATATCTCCAAAACCTGGCAACTCACAGCAGAACAGTCTAGATGGATAAATGACACTACAGGTAAGTAAATTCATATTTTTGATTTTGGTGTAAACGGCCCCTCTGATGCACATACACAGTCCGATATAATCCGAAACACAAGAAGACCAAGTTGGCCAATCATGGTCTCCACATGGTAATACTGTGGCTGTTGTAGCTAACTCTTATACAGTTGCTGCATAAATGAGCGTTGACACTCCTGAAAAGAAGCAACTGTCAGGCGACTGACAACTTCATCTGACTAAACTGTGACTGGGAGCACAACATGGCTCTGTGTTAATATTGTGCTCCTGAATCTGACGTCACTGTCCTCTCCTTGTAACTCTGACCTCCACTGTTGAGGTGATAGAGATCCTCTGGTCTCCTACAGCTCAGAGACGCAGCTTTTTGACTGGAAAATTCCTCTATAAGAACTTCATAGACAGTCTTAAGTCTTTAATCCTTTAACATACAGCAGTACCAGTGTTTTCTGTACCAGAATCAGCAGGGGCACAAAGAACAGCTACAGTCAACTTTAACAATTAAATGTTTAACAGCTTAAATAAAGAGTTTTAGTGTCTAAATCTGGGTTTGTCAACATTTTCTGGCCCTTGTCTCTGTATGTCACTTTTTACTGCATTTCTTTTACCTTGTCGTTGATCAGCAGCTCCATGGGGTTGCTGCCCCATTCAATAAGCACCAGCTCATTGGCTTGTCCAGGTATGGCGTAGGAGAAGGGAGTACCGAGGCCAGGACCTGCTCCTGCCTTCAGCCACAGGCAGATTGTCAGGGCAAAGATCTCATTGACCACTGACCGCTTCATCCGGGCGTACATGTAGTTGGTTCTCATCGGGAAGTCGAGCAGGAATGCGTTGGGACTCTTCAGCTTTAGCTTCTGGTTTCCTGGTGACGATATAGATTTTGGTCATTGATATGTATAAGTACATACTGTTTTAACACCAGCAGTTTCAGTTGAACCTCATGTTGCTAGTTGCAGCCGCTAATGGTTTCTACAAGTTCTAAAGCAGTTTGTCTGACATTGTTACGTCCACCAGTTTGTCAGATCTGTGACTAAGCAAATACTCACAGCCATAGTAGCTAATACAACAACATTTTGTAGCTGTTTATATACTGTTGAGCTAACTGTTATATGTATTTTGACTTTTACTCTTGTGGACATTGACATGAGAACCTAATTTCTTCCTGTATGTCTTTTTGTCTGTTTATAAGTTCAAAGGTAAAGATTAGTAAAGATTCCCTGACAAAAAAAAAAAGACTTTTAAATGCAGCCCAGCAGTAAAATGATCACAGGATATAATCAGAATGAATTATTACATGTAAAATAATCAAATTAAAGCAATTTAAGTGTGATCTATTGGGACTGCAGAAATGTAATTTATGATCAAATGATGAATGAATGAAGACAATGGCCTCCATTTAATTTAATTTATTACTCTTTTTTCTTGAGTCTTTTTGAGTGAGTCATTTTGAATTTGTGAGTTGAATCCAGTTTTTGCTTCTTAGCTTTTTCATAGAAGAATTTTCCATTTATGATTACATTCAAGTCACAGAAATAAGCCACTGGTGTCCTCAACAGATACAAATCGCATTCAGAAAAACCTTTTTATGACAAAACTGTGTGTACCGTGGTCACTGTTGCCGTGGTGAATTTGACTGAGCACTGTTTCCAGCTTGTTGTGCCCTGTGCCCCGCAGACTTGTCTCTTTGCTGCTGAAAGGCAGCCGCTGTGGTGGATGATCGTTACCGTGGTGGTCGTCATGGTGGTCGTTGCCATGGTGATTATCATGATGATCATCGTGATGGTCATCGTAGTGTCCTGGTCCGTGGTGATAGTCGTAGTGATCACCGTGGTGATCGCCGCCACTGTGATCATCGTGACGACCATGTAGGTCATCATGCTGGTCATCGTGGTGATCATCATGATGGTCATCATGGTGGTCATCATGGTGGATGCTGCGATGGTTGCCATAGTTACCATGATGCCGGCTGTGGTACGAGTCATAGTGGTAGTCGTGATGGCGATTGTGGTGACCATTGCGAAGGTTGTACCTGTGGCTACCGTGGTGGTTGTTACGATGGCTGTCGTGGTGGTCGTCACGGTGACCGGTACCACGGTGGTCATCGTGGTGGTCGTCACGGTGACCGGTACCACGGTGGTCATCGTGGTGGTCGTCACGGTGACCGGTACCACGGTGATCATCGTGGTGGTCGTCACGGTGACCGGTACCACGGTGGTCATTGGTGTGGTCGTCGTGGTGGTCGTCATGGTGATCGTCATGGTGATCATCATGGTGGTCGTTATGGTGACCGTAGTCATGGTGATCTCTGTAGTAGCTGTGCAGCTGTTCCTCCAGAGCGGTGATCTTCCGCTGGAGGAGTTCCCTCAGGGAGCTGGAGTAGGAGCTGGAGGAATTCCTGGCCTGCTGAGACATACAGATCGGTCAAGCTTCCAGAGTTCACACAGTGGAGGCAATGTAGGATTCAGTTAACACTTGAATATTATACAATGAGTCAAATAATGGCTTTAGAAGTGTAAACCTTTATCATTATCAAGTTGTAGATGAAAATATTAAATAAAAGGAAGCACTGAGTGGACAGACCCCTGTACACATAGATACATTGCTAGGTTTAGAGCAGCTGGAGAGTAACAAAAAAATGGAGAGAGAGAGAGAGAGAGAGAGAGAGAGAGAGAGAGGATAACATGCAGCACAGGGTTGGAATCAAACTGCAGGAAGGACTTGTGAGCAGGGGCACAACATCATTCTTTACATTTAAGCCAACATGGACAAGAAATCCAAAGTCACATGACAACTGAGCAAACTTGAGCTGTTGAAGATGTGGGATACAGAAAAGGCTAGTAAGTGGACCATGAGATGAAATTGAGACTTTCCAAGGTTAAGAATGAACTTTCAGACCTCGAGAACTGTCAAACTCTAAGCTTTTAGAAAATCACAACAAATTGCAGTAAATTCAATGATGTGCAGCGAATAAAAAAGAACTGTGGTGTGACATTTAAAGTTGCAGGGGGATAGTTTTGGCCCCTCCCTTTAAGTTCAGTCCTCCTCCTTTCTCTCCGTTGCTCATCCTCGCCTTCAAATCCGGCTTTGTTCCCTGCCAGCGCATGCCACGATTAATAGCCTCGTCAGGGAGGATAAAGCTAATTGGAGGTGAGGCTGGCTAGCGCTCTTAGGCGCATGGCCAGAGGCTGGTGGCATAGACATCCTGTTAGAGGAGGGAGTGATGGAAGGTAAATCCTGGCTCTGCTTCTGTTTTGTCTCACACCTTCGAGTAAGATTGAAGGGGATTTCTGGCAACACTTTCCCGAGCATGGCCTGAGACCACCTGCACTGATAATAAGGCTTTCACAGGCCAGCGGGCAGCAGGGTTTTAGTCTCGCAATGTGACACCAGCATCATTAAATGATGTAACATAAGTGAGACAGCAGAACCACATGTAGTGCACATGTTTTAGGTGCTGGAACACATTTTAGAGAATACATTACATACTATCGCATATTTCTACAATTGGAAAAAATTCTAGGAAAGCAACAACAACAGTTCCAAAAGTTCCCAGGGAGCACTTAATTAATACTTTAAAGTTTTTTTTTAGATGTCTGGATCAGTGGTTCTCAACCTTTTTGGCTTGTGATACAAAGTTGACATACTTGGCCTAGTTCCCCTGGGAAAACAGATCCTTAATCTTAATGCGATCAACCAGGATGAATAAACACTGAAGGAATTTACAAATAACAATATTATGATCTGATGACCAGAGAGGCTGGTACCCTCCCTCTTCTTCCGTCACACTACCGTCCTGCTCTAGGCTTAATTCTTCTCACCCCATCATGTGATTGTTTGACACAGGGGATGTTTGAGGTCAGCGGTGAGGGCTAAGCAACTTAGAGCAGCTTTCTGTTCAAGTTTGGGCTTGGCTACCGATATCCAGGGATTGAGAACCGGAACAGCTCTGAGGGGACATTAGTGTCCGATGGCTCAGAGACAACAGACAAACAGCTGCTGGGTGACCATTGGTTCTTAATCTCCTCCAACTTTGAAATCTTACTGAAAATTGTTGTTCCAGAAGAACCTACTTGAAATAAAAAATATGTATTATTAACCAAAAAATGGCCTTTTAATGTAGTGAACATAAACAGTAACCTATGGATTACTTCCTCATGAAACACACCCATCTTACAGTATTTTTGGCAGCAGAAATCACCGGCAGCTGATTCGGCGGTTGAGCTTGTGACCTTTAATGGCACAAAATACGACCCCAATTAAGTCGAACCTTTGATAGGCCTCTGCCTCCCTGCAGACTGTTCAATCCTTCTCTGCAGACACATTACTAAGCATTTCAAACTGTTTGTATGGTGCAGAAAGTATAACTCTTGAGGAATTTTTACCCTTTTCACCTGAGACATCAGAGCTTTAGTTACAGCCTTATGAATATATTTAGATAGGAGACAGTGCTGTGTCCTACGAGCCCTACAGCGTTTTAGTATAGCGAAGACAAGAAACTCTTGGATTAATTCTTAATTCTTAAAAAATATAACAGCTTCTGTAGGAATCAGTACAGATCCCTGAACTCGAGAAAGACCAGAATCTCATGACAGTGAAATAATGTTAATAGAAATGTGTTAACCCTTTGCCTTCTTTGGATAGTTTAGTCTACATCATAAGTTGAATCAGTTAGAAATAAGCATTACCTCGCTTCAGACTTTTGTTTTCTTATGTAAAGTCTCTCTGGGCCCTTTTTCAGCTGTCACACAACTACAATACAAAGTGTCCTGTGTATTAGCCTTGAATAGTAAACTCCAGCTCGGCCATGGAGAATAAAACTCTTGCTTTTAACCATTCAGAATAAACATCCCAAAATGCATCTACTGCTTTTGAGTTAATTTCCCTGGGGCTGGAAGATGTAATTTTTATTTGACTGTTATTTCCACCATGTTTTGCAATGCCTGCAGATAAAAGGCAGAAAGTCAATGGTGCAGGTCGACCTGTACAAGCAATGTGGAGCTTCAACTCTCAATATTGGAGCAAGAAGCTGGTCACCAAAGGAATAACAAAGCAGAAGAGATATGAAATGATCACATGCAGCTGTATTGTTTCTCAGCCGTGCCATGTACTGACATTCAAAACTGTGAGGTGCAGGGAGTACATCTAGTGCAAATCTTGGTATTGTTCCTCCAATTTCGTTTCTAAAAGCACATTCTCCATTAGCGGGCTCTGAACATTACACTATTTCGCACAACTGACTACACACAATATGACTTTTGGTTTGACAGCTTCAGGAAGTTGAATTTGATGATGTGGATGGGACTGTCTACATTCAGAAACTAGCTTTTTAATACACAGTACCTTTGTAAAAAACACATTTATTCTCCCCATTGTGGTTTCAAACTAAACAAAGTAGCTTATTTTACCTTGTTCTTCCCTACCATGTGTGTCAGTAAACATCCCTGGGGCTTATTTATTAGTTATTTTAATTTGATCCACTTACTTTTTTTTGCTTATACTATGTTTTATTATATTCACCATTAAAGTTTGAATTCAAAGCTACTAGTCTTCTTTAGTACTTAACTGTACTGTACTGTACTGGTGGCACAAATAATGCCTTTTATCTGAGTGTGCATTGCAGATTTTTGCACTCACCTGCAAGTTCTCCAGCCTCTCCTTCAGTGTCTGCAGTGTTTTGCCTGTCTGTTCAGGGGAGAAGGAGCTGTGTTTTCCATATGACGAGCCCTTCCTGTGGTGGGGATCCGACCTGTGGCTGCCGTGGGAGTAGTGGTGATCGTTGCTGTGATACGTCGAAGGCCCGTGGTGTGATGGTGTATGGTGGCTGCTGTGCTGCCCGTGGTGATCATCATGGTTGTTATCATGATGGGTATCGTGATGGTTGTCGTGATGATTTTCATGGTGGTTGTCATGGTGACCAACACTATGGTGACCACCGAAGCCCTCGCACAAGGTGAGCTTGGCGGTCAGCTCTCTGATGGTCTCCCGCTGGTCCAGGATGGTCTCCTTTTGCCTCACAAGGCTCTCACGCAGGTGCAAGATTGTGGCTTTGGCCTCGTCGGACATCATTGCTCGCCGATTACTGCCATTGTGGCCGTTAGTGTGGCCATTAGTGCTTGGTCCATGGGGCACACTGGGTGGAGAATAACAACTGGGGTCAGCTTCTGGGGGAATTGGAGTGCAAACAAATTTGGGGCTAATTCCATAGTCATGTTCTATGCCGGGCAAACTGCCTGCTGCTGCTGCACATGACAGGAAGTAGTAAAAAATTAGAGAACGTAGGGGAACAAAGGGGGGGACGAAGCCCAGAGAGGCTCCAACCCATTGCTGATGCCTTGCAGACGAAGGCATGAGGCTCAGAGGACTTACGTCTCTGGCCATATTTGGCCTGCGTCAAAGTTATTCCTTGACAGATGACAGTTTTCCCAGGTCTTAGCTTTGTTGTGACGCACACCATGAATGGAGGTCATATGCGTTGAATTGAAAGGTGTTGGGGCAAAGCATGTCAGCAATGAAATCGCAGATAAAATCTCCTCCCAGACAGCATAAATCCCTTTTAGAGGACAAATAGCACAAACTCCAGGGCAGTATTCCAAAAGCACACAAAGGGTCCTGCCAAACTCCTTAGCTGTTTGCCTTAAAGACAACCCTGTGGTATCACGCAAGGCTTCTTGGCTCCATGGCAAGTTAACAAGCTGTGAGAGCTGGGCTGATATATCCTGATAGGTCCTTCTGCTGTCTCTGGGAAGAGGTGTTGGGCCCCCGCCAGCCAGGTGATTCCTCTTGGCTCCAACGACCTCCTGTGTTTGACAGCCAAGAGTATTCCCTTTAACTTCGGCTTCTAACCACCCATCAGAGTGCAGAGAAAGGAAAAAGAAAAAGAAAAAACAAGATATGAAGAAAACAAGTCAAGAAAACCTGAGATATAATAGAAAATAAATGACTAACTGGAATATTTTCTGACTGTTTTAAAATCACTGATGTTATTGAGTGTAATTTCAAGTTTGAAGCATACATGATTTACATTTCAACCAATTAGAACAAAAAAAACCAACAACTAGAGAACACGTTTGATAAATCATTGTCAAAATGTGGCTACATAGTTTCTCTTACACACTTGGAAGACTGAGCTGTTCTTAAAAGGTTGCAATCTGCAACAAATCCTGCACACTGGTCCTTTATAGGATTGAAGGAGTGGACAGAGTGAGATTTAAATAAAGGGAATCTGGGTCACAACTGAATTAAGGGAAATAAACATGCGTATAAATAGATGTATACTAGTATACTGGTTGTATAGATAGATATGAATATGTTTAGATAGATAACGGGGAGAGAATGCGTAAGTGGAAGGTGATCTACATCATAAACAATTCATCTCCAATTATCAAATCGCCCCTTCAGTCTGTCAGCACTTCCTGTCTGTACTGAGCCGACTACAGTGACGCCAGCAGGCAGGTAGACAGCGCTCAGGGGGAGGCCAGTGGGGGGTCGTCAAGACTGTAGCGAGCCACAGTGTAATAAGATTACAGCCAATTAATCTGCCCCAAAACCACAGCCCAGCAATTCACATAATGAAAGCTGGTTTTCATTTGAAACATGGGTGGGCCTGTGCAGCCTAGTCACTCACACCAGGGCCTCATGAATCAGTGTCAGAACTCGTCCACCCTCGGACAGCATGGCAAAGTCAGACTGTAAGATTTAATTAAAGTGATCTATTTAAATGTTTCCTGTTGGAAAAAACTAGTCCAAAAACATTCCATCTTTGTCACAGCATAAGTCGAGTCTTCCACATGCTTGTAGGGTCAGCCAGAGAGCGAGATGCAAAGCCAAGAAGAAGTTTCAGAACACACAGGATGCTGTTCACTCTAAGCCTCTTATCTCCACCTATCACTAGTTCAAACACCCAGAGCACCCACTAAGTACAAACCACTGAGTCTCTCAGGCACTTTCTGTGGCATCATTGCTTATATGTGCAGACAGTGTCAAACTTCAGAGGTTTATGTTCAGTGTTAAAGTAGTTGAAACTTTGAGAAATATACTTATTTGTTTTCTTGCCGAGAATTAGATGAAAAGATTGAAACCGTCTCTGACATCTGTATGTGTATGTTAAATGTGAAGCTGAGGCCAACAACTGGTTAGCTTAGCATAAAGACTGGAAACAACAAGGGAAAAGAGCTATTCTGACAACAGCATCAAAATCTGCCTATAAGCACGTCTAAATGTATCTAATCTAAATGTTATATCTTGTCAGAAAGAATACAAAAAGTTTAGATTTTATGGGGGGTTATGTGGTATTATTATATTTCTGTATGTATATATTATTTCTGGTTAATTAAATTACTTATTTTCTCATCTAGGTGTGACAACTTGTTGCTTTCTGTTCGAGATTTATTTTCAAAGACAACACACGTAAATAATTTATAATGGTTATGTCTTATGTATAAACATAATCCAATCACTATTATAATCAAATGTAATGAAACAATGCCCTGGATGGAGGGATAAACATATAGAATACTTCCACTGTCAGAAGAGCTATTTCTGTACATTTGGCTGACAGCCATATTATTAGCATTTTCAATTTTAATGCCAAAAATGTTGCCCACATAATTTCGATCATCATGGGATGCTAAAACTTTTACAGCTTGGTGTCAAATGCTGCCAGGTGTATCAGTACTGATTCCTTAAGCATTTCCTATCTCACAACAAAGTCAGTACACTGAGTGCAGTTTAATGAGGCGTTCAGAGGTGCATGCAGCCAGCAGATGAGGACCTTAATCTGACAGTGAGCCCTGCTGTCTGATACTTAAAGACAACATTAGAGGAGATTTAGGAGACATGATACTTCACTGAGGCACGAGGCATCGCACATGAGCCCTAAGAGCATCTCTTCATATACAGCATTACCAAGGACAATGATGAGTGTTTCTATGATAAGCAGCTGTATACCTTGTCCTTTACAAACTATTTCTATCCAGTTTAAATGTTTCTTTATGATTTAAATGAACTATATGTTAAAATACAGGGGTTATACAATTAATCGTTCTGACATGCAAAATATTTCAAATTTTTATATTTTCTGGTTTACCTGTACGAGATGTAATTTAGCAAAAAAAAATTAAATGTGGCAAATACAGTATGTCCAATGTCCCCCTGTATGTTGTTTTCTCTCATTTTCTCTCATTTTTTATTTAGATGAAGAAAAAAAATATATATATTTCTTTTTCTCTTGTCATAATTTATACTCTTTTCTTTGTGTAATTTTCCATTTTCAGTGGCCAGAACAACCAAGCAAGGCTCGCAGTGGCCCTTGAAGGCACAGTACAGCAGCTCCTCGGCGGAAGCAGGGCAGGCCACAGGAACACGTCTCCCTGCCTCTCCTCCTCCTCTCAAGGGTGACAGATTAATAGGATTGGTTGGATTTATTGCTATTTAACGAGGGATTGGCTGCAGGGTCGCAGCACCGCCATAGGAACTTGATCCCCCACCCACAAAGTCAAGCCATTGTTGTCACACGTGTCACTGCAGAAGAAGAACGTGTGCGCGACGTGCATCCAGTGATCATTATGAGGCAATCAACAGCAACTATGAATCACATATTTTCATGGGAGGTTTGCAGTTTTCCTTTAAATTTGTATTACATTTAACTTATAATTGCATTATGTTTGATGATCTGTTCATGTATGTATATATTACTATAAGTAATGTTTTCCAGTGTTAAAGATGAGATTCTTCACTCATCATTTGGAGATGAAAAGCACTGACTAGACCCCAAAGAGTTCATATTTGTCAAACTATTATGATTTGGAAGTATGACGCATTCTATAAAAAGCTCTGAAAATGTCAGTAAACTTTATGGTTTATAAAAACCTCAGCTTGCTTGCCTCGAGTTTGTGAAAGTATACCCATGTTATCGTGTATATACAGTATTTGTGCATGAGCATGTTTAGCTTCTCACTCCCAGCCCCTTGCACAGTTATTAAAGTTCATTAGGTATACGTCCCACCGGTGGCGTTACTCTCCTTGCAGCTTAAAGACGCTCCTCCTCTTCCTGTGTGGGCCCTGAGCTCACCTCTTTGCCTCACGCAACACATCACGCGAGTCATCCCTCCCTCCCTCCCTGTATGGTGCTCCAGCTGGACGGTAAACTCGGTGTGGAGGTGAGTCGTGTCCGTCTGAACGTGACACGAAAAAAGCCAATTGACACTTTGAGGATTGCTGGGGCAGTAGGTGTTTCGTCACTACTGCACATTATCAGGGGGATTTTATCTAGGCAATAACTGACTGCTCTAAATTAAATCAAAATTTCACTTAAAGTAATAAGAAACACTATAACAGCCTTATGGTAAAGACTCTATTAGCATAAACCATTTTTGAAAGTATACTTATGTACTGATGATTTCCATTATTAAAACTTTCTTTTCAGTGAGTTATGCAAAACAAAATGCATCAGAGTGCATTCATGGGCAAGTCTTTCAAAAAAAAGTGTGGTTGTTTAGGTCTTTAATGTCCTTTCAGCAGTATTTATATCTGTCAGTACATCCTGATAAAAAGCTACCATCTGGCTTTCTCGTTATAAACAAGCTATGTAAGTGCTGAAGCCTTTGTTAAATCTGACAAAGTCTGAGCCATTTTCTTCACAGTAATGTGTTCACTTAGTTAACACTTTAATATTTTTTGAGAGAATAAAGGGGTTCAGTTATTAACACTCATAAATACCTTTTTCTATTTCTGTAGGACTTTTAGTTATGAACTCATTGAACTGTGAGGATCTTCAATTTGGAAACTTTTTCCTCACGAGGGCTTGAAATTACAAGGAACTTCAATTGTGCAAACTTTTAATTAAGAAAAGACTGTAAGAATGTATAGGTGTGTTAGTTGTGAGAATTTACTGACTTTAAACTGAAGGGTATTTTTGCCATGAAAGATTTTTGTTGTGAGGACATTTATTTGGGAGAAATAAATTAGTTAGTTAGTTAGTTAGTTAGTTAGTTATGAGGATGTTGTGAAAAGTTTTCATTGTGGGAACTTTTAGTTATGAGGATCTTTTATTTAAAAGACTTTTTGTTACAAGGTCTTTTTGCAAGGGCTTTTCTCTTTAAGAACTTTTGGTTGTTAGGACATTGTGTGAACATTTCTTTGTGTGGAACTTTTTTGTGAAATTAGTTATGAGAATGTTTAGTTACTTAAGAAAATGTTTAGCTGTAAGGACCTTTAGTTGTGCCTACTTTTTGCTAGGTAGGAACTGTAGTTTTCATTGTGAGGACTGATTGTTGTTTCTTTTATTTGGACTTTTCTGTTACAGGACACTCAAAGTGCACTCATACTACATTGGAAATGTCATATCATTGTACAAACCTTTGTCCATATGGAAAAAAAGTGTCCACCTATCACCTTTTAACTGTAATTACCACTGGGCCCATGCAGTCAATCAAAGTCAGGAGGGTGATGAAATATGACCTAATTTAAAAACTCCATATGTGCCAATTTACTGTGCTGATTTATGTCTCGGTTTGAAAGGTCCAGTTTTGCATACGTGTCCTCTACTTCTCTGCAATATAGCAAAGCTAAAATACATTTCCATCATTTTTTAATGTGACAGAGTTCTGTTTCATTGGCTTTAATGATTTTCTAACAATAGACCCAACATTGTGATCCAAGATAATGTCACAGCAGTTTATCTTGGTGTAATACTACTGCTTTGTAACTTTGACACCATCTATCTTGTTGTCATCCTCCAACCTATGTGATAACTTGGTAAATATGACTAAAATGCTCCTAGTAAATCCTTGGTTTAACCCGAACCAGATAAATATAACTATCAATACTTTTTCTACTATTTGTTTCTTTAACAGTGTTTTGGCACCGAAGCAAATCCATTAATAAAATGTTCTTTTTCCCACAGATCACTATATCAAGTCTAAGTCGGCTTTAAACTGATTGTTGACCCTGCAAATAATAGGGTAACATATCTCTGCTAAGAGCGTATAACCAGCCGATGAATAATATCAAGTCGGGCAACAACAGCTTCTTATAAACAAAAACAAACTGGATGCAAATATGCCCACTCACACACTAATACTGTGGATAAAAAACAAAGCTCTATCTATATTTCACCATAAAACAACCACAATTAAAATCAACTGAAGAGGGCTAAAGACGAGTTACCGATTCCCTTTTTGAACCCAATCCCGCCTCACATTCACACAGCTACATGTAATTACAGTTCAGAGCCGCTCGGGTCGACAGCCTTCTACCGTGGAGCCGCTAAGTGCCACATGCGCTGAGTGGCTTTACTGCACCTTTGTACTTTTTTATTTTAGAGCATTTTGATGTCCGTAATTTAGTCTTTTGTAATTTTCACAAAAGTGTACTCCTTCATCTCACTCAACTGCATCCATTACCCTGAACAGACTGTCTACAAAAGCAACAGAGCCTGGTGGCAACACATTGTCTAACTGTAATAGTAAATGCTCAAATTTCTCCTCTCCTTTTGTAGCATCCATCCATGACTTACTTAAGTTACATGAAACGAGCTCCAACTGTAACCATAACATCAGCCACAAGTGGATTATTGTGCAGACATTACCATTACCAAACCTTTTAATGTGAAAAAAACAAAATATAGTAGAGTTTCCAATTGTTCATGTTTATGATTTGGATTATGCATCATCAAGTTTAAGCTTATTTTACAAAATGTTATTAGATAGCCAATTGAAAAGGAATTAGAAAGTCAAGTAATCATGAAGACGGTTAGGATTTAAGTTTCCCACAGCAACATTAAAGGTCCAGTGTGTAACATTGAGGAGGATCTATTGTCAGGAATTGATTATAATGTTCATAGGTATGTTTTCATTAGTGTATAATCACCTGAAAATAAGAATTGTTGTGTTTTCTTTACCTAAGAATGAGCTGGTTTTATCTAGGGAGGGAGGTCCTCTTTTGGAGTCCGCCATGTTGAACCACCATGTTTCTACAGTAGCCCAGAACAAACAAACCAAACACTGACTCTTGATGTGGCCTTTCGTGTTTTTCACGAGTTTCTCCTACACACTGAAGGTTGAGCTGTATTCAAGCAGTTGCATTCTGCTTCACCACTACATGCCACTAAGTCCTACAAACTGGTCCTTTAAGAGGACAAAAAACCTGAGTGAACTTGGGCCTAAGTGAACTCAGGGTAACCCCTGCTGCTCTTTTGGATGAGGTCAGTGCCCTCCCTTCACCCTGAGGTAGAAACTCTCCCTGAGTTGACACTGGGACAGCTTCATCAGAGACTCCCCTGCCTGGGGTCACCGTTGCCAGGCCGTCTGGGAATACTTGTGATGCCGTGGAAAGCTCTCAGGCTCAAGTGGAGAGAGTGAAAACACTAACCGACTAATGTGACAATACACTGGCTTAGTGCAAGAGCTACACTGTAGGGAGCTCAGGTTTCTCACAAAAGGTCTGGACTGTCCAGTGCAACTGAGATACTTTATCACACAGATTTTACTCATCCTTAAAAACAACTGATGCCAAAGACAAAAGGTTTGAACTTACACTTTTACAGACTGGATCTCCTATCTTCTGCTCATACTGAATGAACTGATGAAATTTTCCAATACTAGGCATATTTGATTTCCAGGATCCTGTCTGTAAAGGTGGACTATATACCTATCACCCAAGGATTTCAATCACTGTTCAATCTTTAAAATAATACCATCATTTATCTTAATTCTTGGCTGTGAGTGATTTAGTGAGAGCTGGCGTCACGCTTGTCAGGAAGTGGATTTCTGATCTGATGGCTGATGGATCTCCTCACATTTTGTTTGGCTCCTGTAAGCTGTCTCTGGCCTCGCTGCGACTAATGAAGAAGAGTCAAACCAAGGTCTCAGGGCTGCACGTGGCCTCATCAGCACTGCACCAACCGGGCCAAAGTCTCAGTGAGGTACACACAAAGGGAACTGGAAAAGATTCAGCGGCCACAACAACAAAAGACGCCCCTATGGTGTATGACGCATATACTGCTGATGTTAAAAACCAAGTTGGTTGTAAAATTTTAATTAAAACAGCAATTTATGAACCACAACAGTTCCTTTGACAAACTGATACAATATCAACTATAAGACCAACTCAACATGTTCAACAAATATTAGAATACCCCCAAAAAATACAGATACCGCATAACTGAGTGTCTTTGCTCGTAGAATTTAAATGTGATTTAGAAGGGTGTAATTATGTGTGTGAACTCCAGCTGTTCAAACACATAAGGCGATTTCATGAAGGCTAAAGACGAGGTGTCAAACACAGATCTAAGCCGCACGTGATGTAAAGCTCATCAAAACAGCACTGAATATTAGACGAGGTTGAAGGTGTGGCACATGCAGGGACATGTTGGTGGGGTCGGAGGGGGGAGGGTTGTTAGACGTAAACAAGAGAAATATATTGTTGTGTCCAGACAACAAACAGTATTTGCTAAATCTTTTAGACAGGGATTTTGCCACAAAATATTGGCACTAAAAAAAAGAAAATGCACCTGTCTGGGAACTCCAACCAGCACACAAACAAACACAAAAAGAGTTTAATTGAATCATATTGAGTCACATATGTGCTGCTTTTACTGATACTGCCTGTCAAAGTCAAAGCTAATGAATTCTTTAAAAGGTTTTACCTCAGTAATTCTCCTTTTGTCTCTAAACATCAAACAGGTAAATGATAATGAGCACATGTACAGTATAAGTAAACTGGTATTTGAAGATTCAAGTTCAAGTATTTTAACCATAAAGACTTTAACTCAGTTTATCTCAGCACAACTTCTTATCCCGACCCTGCAACGCTCATGCAAGCAACGTGATTCTGCTAAGTTCAGGATGTGTCTTTAGCCTAACCTGCAACCCATTATCGACTGAGAAGAGACGCAGTTATTGAAGTGATGGGCCTTTTAGTTTTATCACCAAAATGCACGCAAGGTTTTACCAAAAACAGACAGTGTGCCTGAACTTCAGTTGAGTCTGTTTTCTCAAAGGTTTTCTTGAGGGCCAAAGTTTAGCCAGTAAATAAATGGATTTTGAAGGTAGTTTTTTGTTCAAGAGTGAGTTCAGATATATTTTTGGCAGACATTACTGCTATCGTTACTTCTGTGCTATACATGGAGTGTGTATGTTTATCACATAAGCTTGGAGCTTATGGTCGACTGTCAATTCTGGCTCCTTGAGAAAATCCTTATGTGCATTACATAACCACAACATGTACTCGCAAGTTTGCCTGAAAACTGTAGATAATTTGAACAAATATAAGATTAGCATCTCTTTGAGTCTGTAGGAGCAGTATTTACATCATCTGCATCACTGGAAACAAACTACCTGAGATGTTCAGCTCTAACTTTGTGCTCTAGCAAAACTTGATCGAGTAGCTCAAACGAGAAGATTGTTCAGTTCTTGGTAAATTAATTACAAAGGATTTATATCCTTTAGTTTAGTTTAGTTAGATTTAGTTTTGTGAAAAAGAAACAAAAGTTTTCTTACCTGCCTGCAAGTTTGAAGTCCTGAAGCTGGTTAGTCCATTCGGCACACTGATCAGCTTGAGGAGGATTGGCTTTAGGTGGATAATTTTAACTCTCTCTCTCTCTCTCTCTCTCTCTTCTCTCACATACACACACCCCTCTACTGTATGTTCAATCAGACCAGTTGATAGCTGTCATTTTGTTTCAGGTTTTCTCACTTTTAAGATGGACTTGTGAATATGTTATAATGCAAACCTGAATGTCTGTACTACAACAACAATTTATTCTTTACTCTGCCATTGATTTGTTTCATGGCTGAAAATGCCTGCTTTGCAAAATAAGCAAAAAGGCCACCTTCAGTTTTATTCATTGTCAAGCTACCATACCTGACGCTAGTAAACTGACAAAAAATACTAATCTTGCAAATTGTTTCATCCTCTTTTGTGCTTTTTAAACCATTTGTTTTTACTCTGTAAACACATTTCAATGTCTTAAACTGACTGTAAGCACTTGCTTTGAAATCCCAGAGCTGGGTCAAACTGTATTTGAATTCTCTCCAATCACTTGGCATCTGAATTCCTTTTAATTGAAGATTAGGTTGAGTCTCTAGCCTTAACCCGCCCCCCATGAATCTTAACCACGCCCAACAACATATGCAATTTTAAGTGCTACACAGGAGGTGGAACCTGCCCTTGTCATGGCAGAAGATTCAGACTGGAAACGTCCCACATACCTGATTGGCTGGTACACAGACCTACTAATGATGCAATCAGAGTACACAAGAAGCCAAAGATGTGATCGGAGTGAGGCTGTTGGTGTTTTTGTCAGTTCTTCAGGAATGTAATGATCTCCAATCAGGCGAAATAAATTGAGATTGTATGAGAATATTCATTAAGATGACAGAGAAAGCCTCCAGTTATTAGACTGCTTTAATGTGTAACAAGACTGTAGACCCATCAAAATAGGAGATAAGCAGTGCAGCTTATCTGTAATTAGTCTAAATGTCCTCTGTGGTACTGTGGAGATTTTTCTAAGATTTAAAAAAGAAAATCCACCCTTGGATGTTGTGACAGTTATATATTAGACACAGTCCAGGACAGGCCTGTCTGAGGGGAAAAAACAGGTAGCTGCATGCTGACCACTGTGGGTACACGACAGGAGGGTCCAACTGCCATTTTTTTACTGCCATCACGAGACTCGCAAGCCAGACTGAGGACTGAAGCTCTCTCTGTGTTACAAAGTGATTCCCTATATCTTCAGTTTGTTCCATTACAGAGAGGGATGGGGGGAGACCATCGTGTAACATAAGACCTGCCCTTAATGTAAGGGATGTAGATTTGTAAGTGGCCTTTCTCGCCACTATTCAAGCCACGAGAAACCCCCAGATGATTGGTAGAGATGGTCATGGCATAGGAGACAGGTGGGACTGGTAGGATAGACCTGTTCAGGTAAAAGAGACATGGGTTCATGAAAAGCTAACAGGTTTGCTCCGGGTGGCTGTGTACAGGTTTCGGCCCTGGTGGTGAAACAGGAACAGGCAGAAAACCAGAATCAGGCACTGACCGAAACTGGTTCACATTCTAAACGAGAACTCTGGGACTTTTTCTGAACTTTGAGAACACACAGACAAAGCCAGAGGAAGACCAGCATGAACTTTAAAACATATTGTACAACCAATAAGTTGTCCAAAATAAATAAGTTGTTTGTCCTGGTCCTTTAGAACATAAAGGAGCATTTTCTGACACATCTAATAGCAGGGAGAAATGTCTGCGTGCTTTACAAAACTGTTGAGAATAATCGTATAAAAAATAAAAAATAATTTGTTTTGTGATGTGCAACAACTGAAGCTTCCTTTCTTCTTGGAAGGACAGTCTCAGCACAACTCTTATCCAACATACTTCAGTTTATACCCAAAGGGCATAGGAAGACAGGTTCAGGCAGAAACAGACTGCTGAGCAGTGATCACAAGCTCTGACAAAGAAGCTGATACAGTGCTAATATGTTAATGTTAGGTAAAAACTAATATAAAACTACTATATATATATATGTCTATAGCTGCTGTGCACCACTGGTGATTTCGTACAATTCCCTTGTAGCAACCCCTACAGAACAGGCCTTACAGTTCATGTGTTGTATTCAGTTGTGGGTTGTAAGTGTAGGTGGAGAGTGGTAGTGATAGTAAGAACAAAAGTGTGAAAGTTAAGTGAGTTTCAGTCTAGAAAAAAAATTGAAAGCTACCCAAAAACAGGTCTTGTGTCTGCACTGCATTGTGGTCTATTTTCTGCAACTGCTTGTGGGTGTAGAAAAAGCTTTCTGCGTTTGCACCTCCCTGATGGATTTCTCCCTGTATGTCTATATTGGTTGTAGAAGGAAACCATTGTTCCCTCTTCTCTCTCCATCACCTGCAATTTACTTTTGACTGTTCATAAAAACACTGGAATATTGAGTTTGATACTGAATTTAAACTTTATTGTAAGGTCTGGAAATATCTTGATGCATCATCATTAACATCAGAACTGACTCAAACATACATGGGAAATCATCTGATTTTACCAGATATTATGAAGATCTAATGGCATCTAGTGGTGAAGTAGCAGATTCTAACCAACTGAATACTGCTTGCCATCCTATCTAGAGCCAGTGATTGGTTTGTCCATTCTGGGCTACTGTGCAAACGTAAGGGTTCAACATGGCAGACTCAATAAAAGAGAAGCTGTTCCTCCTGTAGATAAAAACTGCTCATTCTAAATCAATGATTCATATTTTTAAGTGATCATACACTAATGAAACATACCTATGAATATTATATTCCATTTCTGCTAATATATCCTCCTAAATGTTACACACTGGTCCTTTAAACTCCCATGTAAAAACCATAGAAAAGTATTTGAAAAATGAATTAAGTCTCTATCTTTCTTGGACAAGACACTTATTAACCCCAATTCCACCACAAATTTCCATCACAAAAGGCTTTAAACGTTACAAAGCTTTTAAGCTGGGGTCCAGAAAGAACATGGATACAACTTTTAAATTAGGTTTTAAAATTAAAATTTTCCACGCTTATTAATTTCTCATGATGAGGGAAAAGCATCTCTCTGCCCACTGCATTAGGGTAAACTCCTGCTTGCAGTTTTATCCTTATAAATAATATTTTATTGTGGATTAAATCCATCCTGTTTTGCTTGGTGAACAAGCCTTCAGGCAAAAAACTGTGCGAGTCCATTTTGGAAATATTTTGACCTAATTGTGCACAAGGCAGAACTCATTGTCTAGCTCTGCAAACAGAATCCCGTAGCTCTTCTTCTGACTAGTATTTACCCCAGCTATGTACATGTGTGTGAAAATGTCAACTCAACCCTGCACTTTCTTAATAAACTGATAAATGTCACATGTGTGTTTGTGATCAAGATATATTCCATGTGTCATGTCAAGCTGACACATAGTCAACAGTAAATTTTACAGCTTACATGCAGGTCTGGACTTTCTTTTAGCATAAGCATGTTTCATAAGACTGTGTGAGGCTGACCTCCTAACCCCAGGGCAGGCTAAATCCAGGTCTTTTCCCCTGCTCTGACCCCAGTTATTCTGGTTATGGCAGCACAGTGAAAGCCAGCAAGCCAGCCAGCCACTTAACTGTTATTATGGTAACCTTCAGATTAGGTCATCATGGCAAAGCCCTCTATGGTTTGTTCCAGATATAGAAACATGGTAAAAATAAAACAGAGTGTAGTTAAAAAAGACCTGGATTGTTGGCTGTTATGTGTTTACTGTTTGGCATTCATTCTGACTTATTAACAACTTGCTGTTGCATCACCTTATCCACAATGCTAGAAACACAATATGCATGTGTCTTCTGTTGACACATACAAGTGAACCCTACTTAATGCTGCAATGAAGTGTTTGGCTTGATATTGTGTTTGAAAGCCACACATTTGTCAAATATTCAAAATAAATAAATAATTAAAAACACTAAACATGCATTTATAATACTTTTATAGTCAGTGTGGCCATTTTAAAAAGTAACATCTTAATAGGGATTATTATGTTGCTCTTATAACAAATTATATTAATTTAAGTCAGTGGTTCTCAAACATGTGTCAAGTATAAGACAGCCTGTACTGTAGATTGATGGCAGATGGCATTCTTATACATTCTCTCACTGGATTAAATTTCTAGTCAATAAAATAATAGTGAAATAGAAAAATATTCCCCAATTTTATCTTGACCCCTTGGAGCCAACTCAAGAACCCCTGGGGGGTCCCCGGACCCCAGGTTGAGAACCACTGATTTAAGTCAGCCTTTCGGTAGACTTTTAATTTTTAAGTATAATCCTTTAATTCTTATTATATAGGTAAGTAAAAGCACTGTGCACTCCCACAACACTCAGTGTCACTGTCTTATTAATATGCCTTTGAGATAAAAAGTTATGCACATATATGTAAGGACCAGAGTACAGTTTATTATTATTATTAAAAACTGATTCAGGTAATATTGTGAGGATACTTCTATTTGCTTAACGACATCCATCTCTATGTGTTATGCTACACGCTGACTCCTGGCGATGGTTACTTTTCCCAAAAGTTGATGGATGTAAAAAATTGAAAGTAATCTTCAAACAAGTCAGTAATCTTCTAAATGTCTTAGACCTGAAAGTCACTAACCCCAAACAAACCCACTGCAAATTACCATCTTAACAGGCTTTAAATGCGGCAAACCTTTAAAGTTGGGGCCTCGAAAGCTTCTTAGAAGTGATAATGCACTTACAGGAAGTGGAAAAATTGTGTAGTTTCTTTTTATAACCTTCTCAAAGGATTTGATCATAGTGAAAGGGCCCCTGGCCTGCTCGTGGTTGAGTGTGTTGCTCAGGGAGTGCTGTAGGAAATAAATCTAAGACTCTGGGCAATCATAGTCAACCAAAAGAAAGAGTTGCTGTGTTTACCAACTCTGAATGAATAACAGTTTAATTTTGGAAATATAAATTACGATCTAGGGCATCCTATGCCTTCAGAAAATTGCTGGATACACACAACCAGAACTCAAAACTCAGGGCAGAGTAACTTTACACTGCTGACAGACACAGAGC